TCCGCCCCCAGCTTCCCGGCCTTCTTCCTGTGGGAAGTGCGGCTCCTTTCGCGTCCCCCACCCTCTCGACGCCGCCTGGCAGCCGCTCCGATACCAAGCGCGGGATGGCCCGGCAAGAGGCGTCGGAGACCCTCCAGCTCGTGGTGGGCCAACAGGCCGCGCTAGCAGGCCTTGCCCGGGCAGCCACCGTCCCGCACCCTCGCCGCGGGTCAGGTCTAACCTCGCCACCAGTACGTCTTGGACAAGTCGTGCCAGGTCTGATGCCGGGTGTGGTGAGTGCCGCCAGGGCCCAGGTGTGCCGCCTCGATGAGGCCCCGGCGCCGCTCCGGTTGCAGCACTACCTCTAGCTCCGCAAAGGTCTTGCGGTGCCGCTGCCGCCGCTGGTAGTACAAAGTCCCGCCGCGCACCACGTAACAGGCAGCAGCCTTGCGGATTTTACGCTTGACATTGCCCTCGGTGCCCGGCGCGTAGGGCTCGCGCTCGTTCGTCAGGTAGCGCAGGATGGCCCGGTAGCTTTCCTCGCTTGACATCACGGACGACGGCTCCCTGAGGGCGCCTGTCAGTGGTGGTGGAGGAAGACAGCGCACTAGCCCTGGGTAGATGCAACAGCAGTGGCCGCACTCTGCGGAGGAACGGCTCCGCCTTTGGTGAGCGCTCTTAGACAGCGCCGAGAGCGTGAAGGGAGAACGGACGAGTTGGTAACCAGGGGGAACTGCACTTCTCCAGCGCGCGGGATCCGCTCGCGACTGACAAAATGGCTGCTGCACCATCGGAAGTGACGCAAGCCAAGGGCGTGGACTGAGCCCGGATTGGAGTGTTCTCGCTTTCTGGCTTGAGGGAGCGGATCAAATGACGTCAGCACTGCGGGCAGACATTTTGGAAGCGGGTAGGACTTTCCTAGGAAATAGAAGGGGTTTTGAGCAGCCATCTTAAGTCCTGGCAGTTTCCCTTTTTATTTTTCCCTTTCCCGTGTTCCGAAGAGCCACTTGTAGGAGCTGGTGGGCAGTTCTTATCCCTCCCGAGACACCCCAAAGGGTAAATGAGTTCGTTTTTGTCTACCTTGAGATACTCGACATAAAAGCATCAGATATTGATGCTTTAGCAAATGTCACTGGACATATTCGCATGAAAATGCAGGCATAACAAAGATTATAATACCTAAGGCATTCAATGTTAGAAGTTTTCTGTCTATAAAACCCTGCCCCACCCCCACGTAGGCCTCCGCAATTACCCAAGGAATGAGCAGGATTTTTCTGGAAGGATCTGCATGTATGATGATGAGCCAATCCTGTTGGAAAGAAATGGGAAGGGGTAGCTAGTGCCATTTAGCTTTATTTGCATATATTTTTACATAAATTTAGGGGGGGGGTCTCTGTTTTACACTTAATGTATTATAAGGGTGCAAGAGGCTAAACAGACTTCAACTGCATTTCCGAATGTGCTCTAAGGGTCCTAATTAGATTTTTTTTTTTTAAGCTGGTATTACAGTGTGGTCTTGGGTATCCTTTCCTGGGGTAGATCTGCTGTGCTTACAAAAGCCTACATTCCCTGTCGAATTGGATACCTGCATTACCTTGCAGAAGCCGATAAAAATTCCAGACTTCCCAGGGAGATGGCTGCAGACGCTGCCAACTACGTGGTTCTGGGATCTCTTTAAGACTGATCCTTGTAAGGGTCATATAGTAGCTTAGTTGCAGGGCACAAACAGCAAGACTGTTAGGGCTGGGTTCTATTTAGAATTACTTGCAGACTTCTTGATAGTAATTGGGAGAAATTAGAAGATGGTAATGCACTCCTGGAGTGGAACAGTGAAAAAGGATATCAAAATCTACCCTCAGAGGAGCTGGCTTGTTTATGCGGTGAGTGCTGACACTCTTGTGATGTCAACTAACTCCCTTTAAAACTAAATATGAAAAGTTAATAGATTAACCCACACCCATGGCCCCAGCTCCTAGGGAGGCTGAGAAAGGAGAATCCCAAGTTTGGATAATGCCTAGAAAATTTATCCAGACGTACTTAAAAACAATGGCTGGGAGGAGGCGGAGTTGGGGCTGTGGCCCAGGAGTAGAGTGCTTGCCTGGCATGTGAGAGGTACTGGGTCCAGATTCTCAGCACTGCACATAAATAAATCAAGGTACTCAACAACTTTAAAAACAAAATTGACTTTTATATCAATTAAATAGTGCTCTACAAGCAAGGAAGCTAAGGTGTTTTTGTTGTTGTTGTTTTCAGAAAAGCATGGTGGAGCAAGATGGCAATCCCAGCCATTAGAGCATCTAAGGTAGGAGGATCACAAAATCAGCATTAGCAACTTAGCAAGGTGTTGAGCAACTTGGAGAAAGATCCTGTCTAAAAAAAGAAAAACAATACAAATGGGAAGTGGCAAATACTATTTAAGAAAACAAAATTATAAAAACATCCCTCCACCAGTTCAGTTTTGTGGTGTTGTTACACATTGAGAAGTCCATTGATTCTCCAAATTCTCCTTTGGGACAATAAACAAGTATTTTAACAAAAGTGGTTTCCTGTGGTCAAGAGTGTCTTCCTGAGGGAGTAAAACTAAAATTTATACTGAGAATTGGCAATCAAGTGTTTATTTCTAGCTCATTCTGAGCTCCTTGGGACTCCAGGGCAATTACAATTGGTAGATCCATCTGACAAGGGAAATGACATTTTACAAGGGGAGATTTTGTGTCCAAAAATCAACAACACCTCAGCATTCATTTGGATATTTTGGCTTTTAACTTTCCTTTTTCAGCTAGTGACTTTATTTTCCATCAATATTTACTAATATCGTCACTAACACCAAAAGGCTTTTTTCCCCCAAGAAAAACCTTAATCTTCTCATTTATGTTCATCAGTATATCTTATTCATTGCATAACACTGGTTACACATAAAATTATTTTTCAGGTTCTCTGCAAACCTATTTACTATACCCAACAATTAGAATAATGCCTGAATTTAACATTAACCAGGGGAAGAAAATTTGTAATCCATTATCGTGGATAAATGGTGATAAAGAAATGTTGACATGGACCATAATTTCACCTTGAGAAAGCTTGTTTAAGACATGGCTTATGCATTTTTGTATCCTTGCAACTCAGCACAGGTGGGCAGTTAATAAAGTCATCTATAGCATGCTGAGGCCAAGGAGCAAATAAGGAATAAAGTGTCCAAACCTCAAAAAAATAAATTTTAAAAATAAGGTCATCTATAGAGTACAAGCCTGTTCACAAACTGTAGTATTTTCCTTATCACATTACACATCTCTTGATCATCAGTCTACTGAGCAATTTTATTTGGCACAGCTCAACAAATTACTCTGGCAATAGTACAATATACTCTTATTCAGTGTCCCTGGGTTCAGAGACAGAATAATATAGCCAGAATAGAAAGGGGGATGCTAGGGCTGGGGATGTGGCTCAAGCCACACAAGCCTCGCATGCGTGCGACCTGGGTTCAATCCTCAGCACCACATACCAACAAAGATGTTGTGTCCACCGAGAACTAAAAAATAAATATTAAAAAAAAAATTCACTCTCTCCTCTCTCATTTAAAAAAAAAAAAGGGATGCTATTTTCTGGGAGCAAGAGATTAATACAGCTGGTAATTTTTGGGACCATCAAATCAGCTAATAGCTAATGGTGGGAAAAGCGGGGGTCCCAATTTTATTGGGCAAACCCAATAAAAAACAAATGTATCTGTCATGGATAGAGAAAAGAGTATTTGAATAGTCAACTTGGGCTAAATCTATGCAACACTGCAGTACTTTCAGTCTGTGTGATGTGTCCTAGACACATTGAAGCAAAGCTAGCATTCAACCATATATCTTTATTGTGTTATCTTAACATTTCTCCAATTAAAAGGGTTACATCAGAAGGCATTATTTCTGAGAAATGAACTTTCATTTTATTTTGGCACAGGAAATCAAACCCAGAGCACACGTATACTAACCAAATAGTCTACAATTTTGATCAGTACCCCCAGCCCCAAGAGATGAACTTGAAATTGTCTTAAATTCTCAACTTTACTGTACACCTATTACCATGTGGACCCAACATGCCTGTTTAGGAGCAAAAATTCAACACCATATAAGTTATAGACATCTTTATTTTAAAATCTCATCTGCCACTTTAGCGTTTTCCACCAACTCGGGGAGCAGAAACCTTCACAGGTTTCACAATCTTTTGCTTAGGTGCTGCCTTTGTGGGAGCCTGAAAAAGATAATATGACATTATATGACATTACTTAACAAAACTTTTATCAAAATTTTATGTAACTCCCCATGTTAAAAGATCATTTCCATCTTTATAATGAAAGACAAAGATACTGTACAGATTGGAGAATAAGGAGACACAATCGGGATTACGAACTGTATCCAAATAGAAAAAGGATGCTATTTTTATTAGTAGTATAGAACCAATGTTAATTTCTAGTTTAAAGTTTTCATCATGGCAACAAAAAAGCTGTGTAACTCTACACCGTTACCAAAACTTTTCTAAGAAATAAAGTTTAAAAATCAAAAGCCACATTTATTTTCCCCATTCCCAATACCTAATATTAAAAAGACGCCTTGACTCCTAGAAAGACAACTTCAGAGACCTGAACCAATCACCCAGAAATCCAATAAAGTCTCAGTATCTACTTTCACTTACTACTCTTCGGCTTAAAACAAAAACTTGGTTATATTAAGAAATTCAAGAAAACCCCACAATTACCTTAGCAGCAGCCATTGCCGTCTTTTTAGATGCCTGCTTAGCCTTTTTTGCTTCCTTGGCAGCCCTGTGCAGTTAAAGATTTAGACAAAGTACTTTATTCCTTAAGAGTACCACTAATTAAGACGGAGCTACAGTTTTAGAACTATCAAATTGTTCCCTTCCCCCCATTTCCATTTTTCATTTCTAGGCTAAGTCCCAAATCCAAGGGAATTAATTTCATCATCAAGTCACTTTTGTTAACATGTATTACAGAGTACAGTAAATTTTACTGCATATGCCATTTTATTTTGTTGTACTGGGAACTGGCTTTACCACTGAGCTATATCCCTAGACCTTTCAACTTTTGAGACAAGGTCTAACTAAGTTGCTGAGGCTAGCCTCAAACTTGCAATCCTCCTGTCTCAACTTCCAAAGTTGTTGCAACAGGATTTTTACTTATTAAATATTTTTTTTTTAGTTGTAGTCGGACACAATGCCTTTATTTTATTTGTTTTTACTTGGTGCTGAGAATCAAACCCAGGGCCTTGCACAGGCTAGGCGAGCACACTAATGCTGACCCACAACCCCAGTCCCTCCACATAGGATTTTTTCCCCACTTTATAAAAATTTTTAATTTGTTATGATAGCAGAATGCATTACAATTCATATGGCACATAAAGAGCATAATTTTTCATCTCTTTGGTTTGCACATAGAATTTCAACACAACAGAAATTAAAGCCTGGCATGGTGTCAATGGCCTATAAGTAATCCCAACTACTCTGGAGGCTGAGGCAGGAAGATCCCAAGTTTAAGGATAGGCTTCAGGAACCTAGGGAAACCGTCTCTCTTAATTAAAAATCAAATGGGCCAGGGATGTAGCTCAGTAGCAAAGCTCATCTGGGTTCAATCCCCAGTACCAAAAAATAAAACAAATTAGACTATATTGTAAATAAAACATAAAGTTTACCCCCAAGAGTTGAAATGTTCAGTGAACCATTTCTTACCTAATAGCTTGCTCTCGTTGAGCCTTTCTAACTTCTGGTTTCTGATTCCTCTTGGCCATGATATCAGCAAGGGATGCACCAGTGATGGCCCTCTGAAATTTGACTGCACGCCGAGTTCTCTTCTTTTGAATTTCTTCCTACAAAACAAAAACATGGGAGCACACTTATTAACCTAAGTCTTTTAATAAGACTTAAAAGATTTTTAAGAAAGGGCTAGTGGGGGGAATTGAATTTATCAATATTCTTAAGACACTAAAAACAAAACTGAGTTGTAAAACAAAAATTAATGAAGTCTTTTAAGACTCATACTCAAGAAAATTAATGCCAATTATTTGAAATGAAATAAAACGTGTAAGCTTTCTACTTATGAACTATTTTTTTTAAGAGAGAGAGAATTTTTTAAAAAAATATTTGTTTTTAGTTTTCGGTGGTCACAACATCTTTGTATGTGGTGCTGAGGGTAGAACTTGGGCTGCATGCATGCCAGGCGAGTGTGCTACCGCTTGAGCCACATCCCCAGCCCCTTATGAACTATTTAAATCATCTATTTTCAACTTTTTTTAAGCACCTCAAAATGCAAACACTAAACAATATCTCCCCATTCTTTCTCCCTATTAACCAGCCTACTCTAGATAACTTATAAAAGTGGAAGCATATTGTATTTCCACTTGGCCTATCTTCAAGGTTCATAAGAAGTCAACTAGTTATTAGCCTTTTTTTAAGCCTGTATGTAACTGGCTGAGCATCGGCAACCACAAAATCCAAACTGCTCTAAAATCCAAAATTTCTTGAGCAACCACAATGGAAAGGTTGTTAAAATATCAAATTACCTTCAGGCTATTTATAAGAACTGTAATGAATTAGATTTAGGTCCCTCAACAAAATATTTCATTATAAATATCCAGCTAATCCAAGTTCCTGAAACATTCCATTCCAGAGATACTTACTGCTTCAAGCATTTGGAATGACAGCTATTCAACTGTGCATTTTGTTATCCATTAATCTTCTGATGGACATTCATTTTTACCTTTTGGCCATTGTTAACAATGGTGTTATTAACATCAGTATACAAGGGAGTACCTATTTTCAATTCTTTGCCAGATCATGGGCTGGGTTTGTGGCTCAGTGGTAATGCGCTCACCTAGTATGCACAAGGCACTGGGTTCGATCCTCAGCATCACATAAAAATGAAATAAAGATATAAGAAAAAAGAAATGCCAGATCATAATAACTTTAACAATGAATTAAATGATTTGTTTCCATAGTGGCTGCACCATTTTATATCCAGCAATGAACAAGAGTTCCAGCTTCTCCATGTCCACACCAACACCTATAATATCCCATTTCTTTTTTTGACAATAGTCATCCAATCCATTTTTAAAATGGAAGTAGAAATAATTCCCCCTCAATTCCTCCAACAAGCTAGGCAAGTACTCTACCACGGAGCTACATCACCAGCCTGTTTAAATTTTCTTTTGAAACAGGTCCTGGCTAAATTGTCCAGGCTGGCCTGAATTTTCGGTCTGCCTCCCTCAGACTCCTAAGCAGCTGGGATTACAGGTGTGTACTACCATGCAGGCAGCAGGCACTTTCCCTCCTCTTCCACACAGGAAATGCTCACTAAATAAGCATAAATATCCCAAAGTCATCTGAATAACAGATGTAGTTCTACCATCACAATCAAAACTTTTTTCCTCACAAACCTTGTCATCTAGCTAAGGACACCGCCCCCCCCCAAAAAGCAAGGTTCCCAAAAATTTATTTTAGGTTTCAGGATGAACCAGTACTACAAGTTGGGAGACTAAAGTGATCTACGTTAATCTATGTTAGTGCTAATCCTTTGGGACTATATTAAAAACCAAGTTATAAGAAGACTCAATCACGCACTGGAACGGCTCTATAACCCAAATGTAACTAATGTAATTTGTACAAAGGGATATTTTCAGATTTCAACTTCATACTACTAAGCCTAAAATGTATATCATCTCATCTCTTTTCACTTCACTGATGCTTTACAGATTTTACAAGCACATTTCAATAACTCTCTCATTTAGTCAAAGAATTACATGACAGAAACCAATGCTCAGGAAGCTAAATTTCTTTAGAGATTGCCCCACAACACCAAAGGGTATTCCACTCACCGACTGGCCCTTTTTGTGCTTCCTTCTGTAGAGGACAGTCCAGTTTATCTGCCGAGGATTCCTCTTGGATAGGAAAGCTGACTCGCATTTTGCATTAAGAAATTGGAAAACCTGTTGTCACAAATCCAAAGTCATTACCTACCTAGCTATACAAATAAAGGACGCTGAGCTTAAAAACTCGTTAAAATATTTTAGAGCTATTTTATGAAATTGGGGCTCACAGAGACCAGAAAACTTAGGTCATATAACTGTTAGTAACTGAGTTAATACCCCCAAGGTCGCTACCTTTGGTCGGTACTCCCAAGGAGGCAAAGCTACGCTTTAAGCAAAGGTGGGGTATCAAATTCCGATAATTCTGCTCATGTCCCTCCCGAGATTCCAAAAGGACCTGTGGCCGTCTAACAAGCAGATATCCGGGTACCCTGGTTACTTGGCTTACGCTACGTCATTAATTACACAAACCGCTCGTTTCCCACTTGGCTCACACTACATTAAGCCTCAATGGTTCACTTAGAAATTCCTGATTCCAACCATCACTCCACACAAGACTCCCGAACCCTTTCAGAAGCCAACAGTCTGGTAAGAAATTAAGCCATTTACACTGAAGTAGGTCGGTTTTTCCTTTTCAGAGGAAAAAAAGCTAATGCGGCCTTTTACCTTTCCGTCGGTCCTGGCGTAGCGCCTCCCGTGTCCAGGGTATATCTTGTACCCACTAAAACTGCACAGCTCGACCCTATAACGAAAAGTGAAAACCCATTAAGGGGGCTGTTTACAAGTAATAGCCATGCCCAGGACGCCGCAGAGAGGTTCTGCGCGAGGATGGAAGCGGATTGGAATTCAAGCTTACTTCATGGCGGCGGCTGCTGGGATAAAGGGACGACAGCGAAGAGAAGGAGAGAATTATGGGAAAAGACCTTATAAGGTCGTGGGGGGGAATCCCCACCCCTAATCCCTTTCGCTCACTTGGGCGCTTGGTGATGACGTCACGTGGCGGCGCAGAATCGCGGCGTCCTTGGCTACCGAGGGCCTGGGGAGGAATTCCATTAGACTGCGGAACGGTCTGTGGAGAGGGGAAGGATGTGGCCCGGTGGGCGGACTGGCGGTCGATTCTAGGTCATTCCAGGGGCCAAGTGTTCTAGAGCCAACAGTTCTACTGCAAAGAATGTGAACGAAAGAGAAGGGTGTCCTGTGTCCTCGCTCTTCTTCCTTTTGTACAGACCCACAGACTTACACCCCGCAGGTTAAACGCAAGTCACATTTTGCCTTCCGCATTAGCCCATTTCCAAAACTAAAGTTAAATTTTACGGGCCAGGTTGTAGCTGTGTGGTAGAATACATGTTGCTCGAAGCCATGGATTTAATCCCCACCACCAGAAGGAGGAAGTGGGGAGCTTTACTATTAACGTTAAAAAACGGAGAAGGGGTCTGGAGTTATAGCTCAGCAGCAGAGCGCTTGCCTCGCACATCTGGGGCACTGGGTTCAATAAAGATATTGTGTCCATATTAAAAAAATCTTTAAAAAAACAGGGAGGGAGGGGGAAGTGCTGGGGAATGATATTGGGCAAACTGTATTGTTACATCGTGTGCATGTACGAATATGTAACAGCAAATCCCATCACTATGTACAACTGCAATGCACTAATAAAAATGTAAAAAATAAAACAATGACATCCAGAACTGTCTTCCATAGTGTTGGCACCTTGCGTTAATTATAATTAACATTCGTTGAGACCTTTCTTCGTGCTAGGATTTGTGCTATAAAGTTTACATACTTTAGCTGATTCATTTTACAAAGTTCCTATTGAGTATGTGAGGAAACTGCAAAATTACATTAGCAGATCTGAGAGGAGTTCCTTTGTGGTGAATGGTTGCTTAGGGAAGCTGAAGGACCTGATGGAGAGTAAAGCTCTTTTCAGGCCTTTTGGAGGACCCAGGCCTCAATTTCTTGAGTTGTTTTTTTTTTTT